CTAGCAGCAATCAGTTGTCAATATTCCTTTGGATAAGATTGGGGTCTGCTGTTCATTTTCCCAGTTCTAAGCTGGGTTACTATCTGGGAATCCCTTTGGTCACCCTGGCCAACAACTCCTATCTGGCATTGTTGCTTGTTATATAGCCTTTAGCTATGCATATGGACCATTAAGAAATTATATCGGCCCCTTTAATCTTTAGTTATACTTTCCTTTTGGGTGTTTAAGGCCATACAGTTGGCCCAGATAAACCAATTTATTTTTATTCCTAAGGTCATTTGAGGATCTGTTCCTCGGGGGTCACATAGTCTTGGGAGGAGCCCCTGCCTCCTTTCTTTTACCAGTACAGCCTATGTGAAGGTAAGTCAAAGGTCCTCTTCTACCATGGTTTGCTTCGCTTGGAAGCATGGAGAAAATGATTCCTCTCTGTTGACCCTCCTCTTTGTAGACTGGACACTGATTCAAGTCCATCTGGTGGGGTCTTCTTGGCCTCCTTGATCAAGAGGACAGGTGATCTACAACAATTACAGGACATTTTGAGAGATGTTCATAGTCCTCTGGACTAGTCGACCTAGGAGGGCAAGGAGCAAAAAGTGTCCTTTATGTCCCTCTGACCAAATTATTACAGGCCTCAAAGTATGTCTGTTCAATATTCAAGAAGGTTACTTCCACCAGTCTGGTACTTTTAATTACTGTGTGTCATGTAGATAAATCTTGGGCAAAGACCAATTGTTCTCAGATAAAACTTACCTAGACATATATGTCTTGATCTGCTATTTATAATTTGTCAGTAGGTTGTAGGAGTAATATGGTTCCCTCTGGTTTTCAAAACTAGCTAGGCATTATTTATCTCTCACATTGTCTCACCCCTCCATCATGGTTTTCCTACTTAAGGTGCTCCCATTTCCCCCCTTTCTCCCTTACTAATGCTCTTCTCCTATGGTGCTACCTCTCTTGAGCTCTTTCTTTCGCTTTATCCCCTAGGTTCCTTGTCTACCATTCCCCGCCTCCCTTAAACTAACCAAATTTTTATCCATATCTCCCTTATTAAGGCCTGTTTCCTAATGTTCTCTTTCAGGTTCTTTCTTTTCCTTTACCTCCCTGTTTCCTTTCCATTTTCCTGGTTCCTGTAGTTATGTCTGGATACACACTCACTTATCAGGATTTGGTTCTAGGATCCACATATGAGGGAGAGCATATGTCGATTTTTTTTCTGAGTCTGTGTTACTTCACTTAGTTTAACAGTTTCAAGTTCCATCCATTTACCTGCAAATTTCATTTCATCTTTCTTTACTGCTGAGTAAAACTCTATCGTATAAACGAACCATATTTTCATTATCCACTCAGTTGAGGGACACTTAGATTGCTTCCACCTCTTAGCTATTGTGAAAAGAGCAGCAACAAACATGGATGTACAAGGGTCTCTTCAAAAGGATGAGTTCTTTTGGGTATATGTCAAGGAGTGGTATAACTGGGTCAAATGGTAGGTTCATTTGTAGTTTATTAAGAGTTCTCCACACTGCTTTCCATAGGGGGTTGAACCAGTTTGCAGCCCCACCAGCAGTGGATGAGTGTTCCCCTTTCCCACATCCTCTGCAACATTTGGTATCATTTGTTCTCTTGATTTAGCTAGTCTGACTGGGGTAAGATGAAATATTAAAGTGGTTTTAATTTGCATTTCCCTTATTATTAGTGATGTTGAACATCTTTTAAGATGCTTCTTAGCCATCTTCTTCTTTTGAGAACTCTCTGTTCAGCTCCTTAGCCCATCTTTTAACTGGGTTACTTCTTGTCTTGATTCTCTGTTTTTTGAGTTCATTATATATTCTGAATGTTAAACTTTTGTCATATGTGTTGCTGGTGAAGATTTTCTCCCATTCTGTGGGTTTTCTGTTCACTTCCCTGGTTGCCTCCTTTGACATACAGAAGCTTTTTAGTTTAATGAGGTCCCATTTGTTAATTCTTGCACTTGTTCCTGAACAATTAATGTCCGGTTTAGAAAATCCTTTTCTACACCCATTTCTTGTAGGTTTTACCCAATGTTTTCTTCTAACAGTTTCAGAGTTTCAGGCTTTACATTGAGGTCTTTGATCCATTTGGAATTGACTTTTGTGCAAGGTCAGAGATAGGGATTTAGTTTCATTCTTCTGCAGGTGGAGATCCAGTTTTGCCAGCACCATTTGGTGAACATGCTCTCTTTCCTCCAGTAAATATTCTTGGCCCCTTTGACAAATATCAGGTGGGGAAATTTCACGTACTCATGTATGGGTCTTCAATTTTGTTCCATTCATCTATGGGTCTATTTTTGTGCCAGTACCATGTTGTGTTTATGGCTATAGCTCTGTAATACAGCTTAAAATCTGGTATAGTAATCCCCCTAGCATTGCTCTTAGTGCTCGGGGTTGGTTTGGCCATCTGAGGTCTTTTGTGCTTCTATATGAATCTTAGGATAGTTTTTTCCAATTCTGTGAAAAATGTCATGGGGATTTTGATTGGCATTGCATTGAATCTAACCCTATCCTTAACTCTCACCCTAACACTAACCCTAACCCTAACCCTAACGCAAATGCAAACCCTAACCCTAACCCTAACCCTAACCATATCCCTCACTCTAACACTAACACCTACTTCTCTGATTGCTTGTTATTGGTATATAGAAAGGCTACAGACATTTGTTGATTAATTTTGTAACCTGCCACTTTACTGAACATATTAAAAATTTTTAGGAGTTTTCTGATGGAATTTTTCATTTCTTAGATATAATATCATATCATCTGTAAAAAGGGATAATTTGATCTTTTCTTTTCCAAATATTACTCCTTTACTTTCCTTCTCTTGTCTTATTGCTCTTGCAAG